TGTTATTTGTTAAAAAACAACATTCCACTGAGTAAATTTTACAGCTCTTATCGGCTGTCTTCAGTGATTCATGAATCAGGCAGCCTACAGTCCAGGAGATAGAAAGGAGCTCTGTACAAGGTGGGAGACTGTGTGGGCAGAAGGGGCGGGAAGAAGGAAGCTGCACTGACAAACAGAAGTGGGCTGGTCATGCAAGGTCACTTTCCTGCAGGGGGTGGCCTATCCGGCAGATTTCCTAACTAGTGCTGGTCAGACAGCTCCTGACGGAGTGGTTCAAAATTGTGTCTCTGGGAGAGCCGAAACTGTAATTAAATTAAGCCTCATTTTGGTGACGTGGGGCTTAGCATAAGCAATTCCATTTTGGGTGTGTTGTCTTGTCTTTAACATGCTTGAGTGTTTGTGTGAATCATTTAACAATTTCTAAATGTGCATGTGGTTTTGATTTAACTTTCTTCTGTTGTGTTAAGGTCCAAGTATGTGTTATTTACAATGAAAAGTCTTTTAAATCACTGGAGCTTGTTTAATGGTTTGGTATGTAATCAATATTTATAAATATTCGATGGATGCTTAAAAAGACATGTATTCTCCAATTCTCGGGTGAAATGTTCAATACATTTCCATCAGACAAGCTTTTAATATCATTATTCAAATTTTCCATATCTTTACTGATTTGTGCACGATTTGTCAAATACTGGGAAAAGTGTATTAAAGTCACCCACAGTCACAGTGAGTTACCAGTTTCCTCATGTACTTCTTCTATGGTTTTCAACAGCACATTTAAAATTTACACTGCTGTCTGTGATCAGGCTCAGAATTGTGTCACCCTGCTGAACTGAGCACTCTTTCTTTGGGGAGATTTGGGTCTACTTTGTCTGATTACAGGGTTGCTGCACCAGCTCTCTTTTGGTTGGTAATTGTTTGATAAAGCTCTTTCCGTCATTTTCCTTTCAGTCACTCCACAGTTTCATGTTTTAGGGGTGTCACTTATAAGATAGCTGGATTTTGTTTATTTATTGTATTACAATCCTTGTCCTCCAGCTGGAGAATTAGGTCCAATTATATTTATTGTGATTAATATATTTGGGTTTATTTCTACCATCTTGTTTTCTACTTTCTCTATGGCATTTTCTAATATTTCATTTTTTCTGATTCCTCCTCTTTCTCTAGATCACCTTTTACTAAGTTTTAGGTTTTTTCCGTCTTTGTAAGATTTGACCTTACGCACTCTATTTCTAGTTTTTTAGTGGTGACACCAGTCCTTTTTATGTGTATAATTAATTCAACAAAGTCTAAAATTCATCAGTATCGTTATCTTCCCTTCCAACAACATAAGTAAGGACTTGAGTACTTAACACTCGTAAGTCACATGCCACCACTGCCCGGTGTTTCAGTGGACCTTTTCTATCTGCATACATCTTTTTAGTCACTGTTCGCTTGATTTACCCGTGTTGGTACTATATTCTTTGCTTACCATTCCTCCTTACACATCAGATCTTCTATCCCGTATAATTTTGCTTCACAAATCCATTCTTAAGCAGCTCCCTTAGTGAGAATCGGGTGGTAATCATTCTCTCAGCTTTTGTTTGTCACCATCTCACTGGGATCACTTGCCTATAAATTTTTCTAACTTGGGAGTTTTTGGGCCACACAATTAGTATAAATCCTAGCCGACATCCTTCTCGAGTCTGACCTGATCATTAATTTTCACTGGAAGCTTTTTAGTGTAGATTTACCAGCCTGAGGGGCGGTGGGGTTTGAGTTTTGTTTTTCTTTTTTCTGGCTCATCTTTTCCCGGCAGACGTTTCCTTTCAGAGGTCTCAGCTTTAGCGAGGGACCCCTGATCTGGCTTTCGCCTTGCTCTGCACTAGCTTTGTGTGAAGCCCTTGGCTCTTCCAAGTTCTGCTGAGACTGAGGCCCCCTGGGTTTGCTGAGCCTCTGGGGACAGTAGATGCCCCCAAGGCAGTGCTATCGGAAACTGCATCCCTTTCTGGATTCCTGGCTACCTCATGTTGTTGGCTTCTGAGGTTTTCCTTCACTCTCTTGCTGGCTCAATGGTGCCTTTAAGGGGCCTTTAAAAAATACTTTATCAAGCATTTGTAAACGTTGTACACAAGGACAGCTTTTAAGGTTCTACTCTGATCTTGCCAGAACCAACGCATTCCACTCCTAATAACTCATACAGGGTGGGTAGGTGGTCACTGTTCCTGTAACTGAGCAAACTGTAGGACCCTGGACAACCTCTGTGGACCTCGGCTTTCTGAGTGTCCTTACCTGGGGCTCTTTGTTACACCCCTTAAAAGAGAAATCTTCCTAAACTTGCATTGCCTTCTTCTGGGGAGATATTTAGCATTCTTGATGATATTCGTAAACTTCTGGTGAACTTTAATGAAATTAAGACTTCTTTTGGGAAACACACTCTTAAGTGAAGGTCATAAGTTTCACTATGTGTTTTTTTTCTTTTGCTGTATACTCTGTATCCATTGTTTTCCCCCTGTAAAATATGCCTACTAAGAGTGAGTCTGAATTGGCTTCCTACGGGGATCTTTTTCTTTTGCAACAAGATAGAATTAAAACTATGATATATGCTCATAATTGAACAGTCTAAAAAGTTTGCATTAACAAATCTTTAAATTTTTAAAAAAATTTAAGCAAATTATCTTTGTTTTCAACTTTCAGCTCTAAGTCTGGAGGCACACAAGTCAGACCATATTATTCTTTACTGGTAACAAGATATTCTTGAACTGCAAGCGTCTACTAGTACCATCCAAAGGAACCTTCTCTGTTTAAAATTTGTGTGCAAATTGGAAAACAGAACCTAGCTTGAAAAGTTTAAATAGAAATGTTAAGACCAGGCATATGAATTTAACTTTCATTTCCTGCTGATATGCAAATTTGGGGATTATTCTGGCCAAGACACTCTCCCCACCACCACCATTCTAACTAAAAGAAATGTATTAAATTTTTAATGCACATGACTAAACTGAAGACTGGTTACATGAAAAAAAGACTTTTTTTAACCATTTCAATTTATTGTTGATTATGTAAAGTCAAAATAACATTTTGGTAACCTAGCTGAAAAGTAATGAATATGAAGCACTGGAGGGTGAGAAGATCCAGATTTCTCACAGAATGAATTTTAGTCAACCACCTTTCTACGCTTCAATCTTGTCTGTAAAATGGGGATAACGGTAACTCAGCACCTGAGTCAAAATGAACTGGGTTCAAATCCAGGTGGAGACACTCTCCGGTGGTTTTAACCCAAGGAGCTAAGCCCCTTCTGCTCATTTGTGGAGTGATTACACCCATATTTCAGGGCTGCTGAATTTCAGGGCTGCATATTTCAGTGAGCGTCCAGCAGTGTCTCTAACATGCACCAAGAAAGTAAAGCATAGAGATGGAGAGAGTGCTTTTGAGGTTCAGACATTAAATTTCTCTATATTAATCTAATTATTTGAGGATTGCTTTAACTTTTTTCAACGTGTCTCCCTTGTATTCCATTTACTGTTTCATCAGCAAGAATCACTTTTCTCCTTGCTTTCCAGCTGTGTCTACTACGATAAAGACGTAAGATTTGCCAGTGCAAAGGGACTCTTCTCTCAAGCAGGGAGTCATTTTCATGTTAAAAACAGATAATTGCAAGTTCTGGAAAACCCACTTGTATTTCAGAATGAATTCTCAGGGTGTGTGTGTATTTGCAATAATATGTGATTCGAAGGAGAGGGATGGGTGTTAAAGCTGCTTGTATACTCGACACTGAGTAACTGAACTAAAAACCATGGAAGTAAAAAGAAAACTAGGGCTCCTTCTTCTGAGCTCCTTGGCACTTTGAGCTAGCTGCCAAAGGCAGCTTTTATTAAGGAATCACCTTTGTGCAAAAAGCATCTCCTTGGTTTTTCACCCCCGAGAGGGAATCCCAAGTCTTACAGGAAAACGTGTGCTGCGTGGCTGCATGGACACGACTCGGGTCCGAACGCATTTCGGCTCTTTCGAGGAGGCAGCGCAGACACCCGTCTGCCCGTCTTCCTCCGACTCTCGCTCTGCATCCCCAGCCCCGCAGGTGCGCACACCGCGAGCCTCCTGAGTCAGAGGTGGGAGCGCAGAGTTTCAGTCCAGAGCAGCTCCTGACACCACACGGGTCGAGCAAGAGCAAGAGAAGCAGGAGACGAGAGGGAAAGCCCGGAGGGCGGGGAGCAAGGGGGAGGCAGGAGGGAAGGGAGAGAGCGGAGCGCCGGGGCAGGCAGGGCCGCGCGGGCGCGGGAGGCGAGGGCGCGGAGGGCGCGGGCGGCGCGGGCCCGGAGCCGGGGCGGGAAGCAGCCTCCGCCGGCCCCGCCGCGTCTCGCCGCGGCCGCGCGCGCTCCGGGGAGCCGGGGCGAGAATCCCAGGAATGTCGGCGGAGCCCCTCCGGGGAGGGTGAGGCGGGGGCTTCTGGCGCGCGCCCCCGGCCCGGCCCCGCGCGGGGCAGGATCCGTGCGCCCCCGCCGCAGCCTCCAGGCCGCCCGGAGCTGGTGCCGCGGGGTGAGCGGGCGAGCGGGGCGCGGACACGTGGGGGCCGCGCTGGGCCGGGTCCCGGGGGCGGGCGGGCCCGGGGATGCGCCCCCGCCCCCGCGCGGCCGCCTCTGTAGCCTCCAACTTCTCGGGGCCCGCGGCGAGTCCGGGCGGGGAGCGGGGTGGGGGGCGCGGGCGCGGGGCGCAGAGCGCGGGTGGAGGGAGGGCGGTCCGCGCTGGGCAGCCCCGGGACCCCGGATCCTTGGCCCCCGGAGCGCGGATCACGGATCGCGGACCGCGGCGGGGCGGGGCGGGGCGGGGCGCCGGGAGGCGCGGAGGGCGGGGTGGCCCCGGGGGCGCTGCAGGTGACGCGGCCCGGCCTCGGCCCCCAGCGGCCGCGGGACCCGGGGTGGGGACTGGCCTCCCGCGGCGCAGACGCCGGCTCCCTGGTGAGGCAAGGTTTGTTTTCTGTCTCCGCGCTCCCTCGCGTTGTAACTCGCTTGTCTGTTTGACTTTCTTAACCTGAGGGTTCTTCATTCCCACCGCGACCCCCGTCTCGCCTCGAGCCTCAGTTTCCTCTTGTGGGCGCTGAGACCTGAGCGCACTCGGGTGGCTGGCGGGCGGGAGTGCGGTTCTTCTGTAGATGAAAGTTTCCTTGCTCGGTCCTCTCGGTGTTATTTGAAGTAAGCGTAATTGCAGCCGAACGTCGCTCTGTAGCCGCCGATGAGCCTGCCCCTCCGGGCCCGGTGCACGTGGTGGTCCGGTTAGACGGGGAGCGGCGGTGCCGGCGCTCGGAAGCCGCTCGGCCCGGCTGGGGGTCGCAGCCCTTCCTGCTCGTGCGCCCTTGCTGGGCTCCAGCGCTCGCAGCACCGTCCGCGGGTTTCTGGGACTCGAGGCTGCCTTTGTCTAGCCGCACTGCATATGGGAGGGACGGGGTTGGGACTTTGTGTCCAGAGCCCCACGTTCCTACAAATTAATGTGCGGGACGCAAGGAGTTGATGTCTCTTTAGTCCCTGCTCCTCCACTGCCGCACCCACAGTCTGAGTGTGGGGCCGCTTCTGCTTCCTGTGCCTCAGTTTCCACAGCGCAGCCTGGAACTGCGCAGCGAACCTCAGGGACTTGCAGAAATGCGCCTGCGGGAATGAGCCGTGAAGACGGAACTCGCTTAGCTGACAGCCCTCCCTGTAGCACGCCGGCTCTCGGTTTGACTGTGAGAAGTGATGGGTGTCTCAGCTGGTAAAAAAATTTCTGCTTTCTGTTGCTTTGAAATTCACTTTCTACTTAAGCAAAATCACCGTTCCTTCTTTTGGTGTTGTTGGCAAGCTGAAGTTCGCCGGTTCTCGTTGGCTTAATCTCCTAGTTGTCTGTTCTCGCCTGTGGAAGCGTCCGCTTTTCGGTTTAAACTTTCTAACGTATCTCCAGCCGAGGTGGAATATTTTAAGGATGTAGGTATGTTTTGGCATTTCCTGCTTTCTGTGGGACTACAAGCATCAACTTCACGATTTTTTGTGTTCTGTTGTATAAACTGCCCACCTTCCCCCTCTCTGACATGGGGTTGGGTGTGGTTGGGCTGGGTGCACGCGTCCCTGAGGGTTGGTGATGTTTCATCCTGAGGTTCAAGATTCCGAGCTCTGTTTTCTTAAGAGAAAAGAGTGAAACCTCCGGAATTAACTGAAAATGAATGACGGTTCTTTAGGAGGTTAACCCGGCGTGGTTTCTGCTTTAGCTCAGTGCTGTGGGAAACTGCTGCTTAGGAGCAAACGACTGAAAATTTGCAGAGCATTTACGAGAGGGGCAGATGGAGAGCCTGCAGGTGACTCAGATGCAGTCCTTGCGACGCAGGTGAAGGCCTGGGCAGCTGGGCCTGCCTTCATTTCCCCGCAGCCGTCCCGCTGCCTGGAGTCCAGAGCCCTGGCAAGCCCGGCAGCACCAGCACCGTCTCAAGGGCGAGCAGAAGGAGCCAGGAAGGGGGAGACGTGCCCACTGGTGCTCCTGTGCAGTGGAGGCCGGGGTGCCCAGGAGCACCTGTAACCCTAGCCCTGCCGCCCGGTTCCTGGCCCAGAGTTTTACCGGAGAAACTGGCTGTTGTTTCTAAGAAAGAACTGCAAAGGGCAGGGGGCCGTGTCACACCAGGGAAAGGTGTCTCTAGACTGTCCTCTGACTTATTGTTAGAGCAGGATGGAAATACTCAAGAGGGGGTCCTCCAGCAAATGTGGTTGATAGTCAGATGTTCTTTGGGTCAGTCTGGAATTCTTCTTGGGGAACCGGGAAGATTATTTTTTTTGTTGTTTACCTCTCTGTACAGTGTCCAAGTGTTAAATTTGTCCCCATTCTTTCTTTCCCAACCACCACCCCTATTAAATGCATGAGGACTCCAGTCAGTGCAGTTCCTATCCTAGGCCCAGGGGCTGTGAGGCTCGGCCGGCCTGATATACATAACCACCAAGTAGGACATTTTAGCATTCACATACGTTCCATCCCACTTTTACTGAGCGGACACGATTTTCATGGTCTAATAAAATATCTTTATTTCCTAATCTGTCCTTGGTTATGGCCTCCTGTAATCAAGGGGACAGCCCTCTTAAGACTTCGTATCCAGACTTTAAAGTCCATTTGTGGTTCACTTATTAATAACTCACTGGGGAGACTAAATTCCTAGTTATTTGCTGGCTCTCCCAGGCCACGCTTCAAATGTAGAATCTGTTTCTACTGTCTCCTGTGCCTCGGTTTCCACAAAACACCCTCGGGGAATTGTGTGTATTCAACAAAGGTCTCTAACTGTAAGAGCATTTCTGAGCAGTCACTTCATCTAGGATCTATATTATAGGCTTAATTTGCATGAAGCTATAAACAGCTAATCTGTTAGTTTACACGCTCTTTCCCTCAGTCAGCAGGAGAATCAGCGCTGTCTGTTCTAAGCTTCAGTGAGCAGGCAGTAAAGGATCGCCAGGCCTAGAAGAAACCTAATGAAAGCTTGTGTTCAGGCTTCTGTCCCCTTATCCACGAGCTTGTGCAATAAGATCTAAAGAAGCCATTATTGTGTGCTGATAGAATTTCATTCCAGTGACCAGATGTGGTCCTTCAGAAACGTTTACGGTCGTGCGGCCGTGCGCGGGTGGCCAACCTTCCTGTGGCTCCTTTCTTAAGGTGTAGATCTGGACCATGAACGTCCGCCTTATGAGGACTGCGTGAGTTAGGACTTGCAAAGCACAAGCCCTGTGACTGACACAGGGGAAGTACTCCATAAATGCCAGCCATTGTTAGAAGTATTAATATTATTAACTTAAATGCAAGGTAAATAAGTATCGTAACAATTGTTACCATGACCTGCAAGGCAGAAGGTTTTTAATCATATATTTTTTCTCTTTCAGTTGCACAGAGAAACATTGATTATGGTTAATATCTTCCATCCCAGGGTGTACACCATGGCTTTTGGTCCAGCGAGTGGCCATTTTCAGAATGTTGTCTCCCCAGTTAGTAGACACCCATAGCAGCGGTGGTTGTAATTTTGAACTGTAAAAATAAGAGTTGTTTTTAAGACTAAAAATAAACTACACAAGTGTTTGTTCCTCTTTGTTTTTATCTGTGTGCATATTTCAAATTAATGCTTAGTCAAAACCTCAGAGTATTAGTCATTGATTTGCAAGCTTATAAAGGAGGCCACTGGCACAAGATACAAAATTCGCCTTTGACAGTGTCCAAAGTTCAGAAGGGTAAGTCTAAAACTGTCCTTAATGATGGTACAGCAATTATTTCCTTAGGAACTGCCAAGGGAACCTACAACCTACGTGAGCATTCAGCTGAGTCTTCCTGTCTAATTTTGTTTGGATCTTCAGTGATGTACCAAAAAAAACCTACAAAAGGTTGTGCCCAGGACGTGGCTAATTCGTCTGGCTCTCCACTCTTCACCTTCAGAACCAAAATTTTGACTCTCAAACAAAAACTTCTATTTCTACTTTAAAATAAATTAGCCTTTTACTTTTATTCAGCCACATTAAGCACGTTTCCTCTTCTTTGTATCTATTAATTGGTTACTGTTAGTGTTAAAAAATTTTTTTTTAACTTTTTGCAGCTTCTAGGTGATGGGCAGATCAGAAAGTCAGATGGACATAACTGACATTAACACCCCAAAGCCGAAGAAGCAGCAGCGATGGACCCCGCTGGAGGTCAGCCTCTCCGTCCTCGTGGTGCTCCTCACCGTCATCGCCGTGACGACCATCGCGCTCTACGCCACCTATGACGGTGAGTCCTCCTGCCTGTGCACGCACGACGCTCGGGAGACCACCGTCCTCTCCTGTGCTTTCCCACCTGGCAGGCGAGTGTGTCAAGGAAAGAGACACTGAACAGTGGTGGCTTAGAGATCCGTTCGTGAAATGTAACATCAACACGTCAAAACACGTAACTTCGACTAAAGTACGATGTTTTTCAAGTTTGAGCTGAGTTATTAGTTGCCAGGTCTATTGAGTGCACACATGCTTGTTTTAGGAAGATTCTGGTGTATAATTTTACTTGATTAAAGTATACGTAATTTTATGGCCAACTTTAATTAGTCAACTTTTGTTGTGTCCTTGAAGTTCTAAAGGACTTCGCAGGAATTTAAGAGGCCTAATTTGAGTCTGAGACGTTGTTCACAATAAGGAATAGAAAAGATTAATTCCTTAATGGGAAGAAAAAATGATTACCCCAACAAAGCAACTGATTGTTTCAGTTTAACAGACCTAGGGCTTAGTGAGTACAGATGACATCATACTTTGTTTTCGTCATAATAAACATTTTAAATTTGCCTGTTTTATTCCGCTAAGTTTTTTCTAACTACTGACAGTGATATATAACACTCAGGTTTTAGTTCTTGCTATGAGGAATTAATCGTTTAATTGGCAGTTCTTAAAAGAACAAAAGATAGGGAGAAATTAGGAAACACGTTATTACAAATATTTATGTGTATACTCTCCTTTTTCTAGATGGCATCTGCAAATCATCAGACTGCATAAAATCAGGTAAGAAGATGGTTTTGACATTTAATAGTTTTACAGTTAACGTATAACATTTAAAAATCAAATGCTAGTAGATATATCTCTACAGTTGCATTGTTTGTACTTTTATTATTATAGATCACAAGTTTATAGTCAAGGAATATCAAAATGTATTTGAGCAGTAGGTTAATTAACTTCTTTATTTTAAAAAAGCACTCACTCTTTTCAACCCTGGAGGGTATGGCCAGTGATAGAGAGCGGTGTCTCTGGTTTATGGAGCTTGCCATGAAATTGGAGAAGGAAAGTCAACGTGCTGCAGTGGTGCACATTGTATCATTGTGTTGAATTTCTGGATGCAGATCCTTAGAGGGTAAGAGCTGAGGAGAGTGATCAGGTGAAGCCAGGGGAGAAGCTGAGATTCCGGGGCCCGGAAGCAGGGCCAGGATGTGGAAGTGGAGAGACAGGAGAGGAGGTCCAGCCAAGGAGAGAGAGCAGAGCGACAGGAGTCAGTCACATGTGGAGAAGCAGTGGAAACAGACACTTGGTAGATCGGGCACAGTAAGGAGAGGTCTGAAAATCCGCTTCGAGCCCTGATGCTGTCAGAAGGGCGAAATGGATATTTTCCTGAGCAGATCACTGGACGAGGCAGAAGTTGAAAGGTGGTTCGAGAATGCTAGGCTGGGTGGGCTGAGTCAGAAGTGACTGGGAGGCGGGTGGGCTGCTGTGACCCCATGTGAGCTGAGGAGGGCAGCATGAGACGGCCTGGACGGTGAATCTGAGGGCTCGGAGAGCTGACCTGGTACACGAGGATTTGAATACTTTGAAAGTGACGCCAAGGTTCACAGCCTCAGGGACGCGGAGACTGGCGGCAGTGCCCACAGGGGTGGAGAAGTCAGGAGGTGAGTTTGTTTTAGGGAGGGCATGATTGACACGGATGTGGACACAGGGTCTGAGCCGGGGGTAACATCCAAGTGGGAATGGGGGGCAGGAGATGGGGTGGATTTGGGATCGTCAGCCCAGGGGTGATCGCTGAAGCCTTGTGGGTAATTTGAGTTCCCATGAGGAGGAGAGAAGATGAGGACTTAGAGCAGAAAGAGAAGCATATCAGAGAGCAGAGAGGGGTCTGGAGCTGCAGAAGCATGAGGTGGGAAAGGGCGGGAGGTGGGCAGGGCTGGCACCCCGGGCGTGAGCACAGGATGGGTGCCCTTGCTCTTTGCACGAGAGATGCTAAACCTCTTTTCCAGCATCTAGATTTCGTCCAAGAAGTAGCCGGTCCCAAATGGGGGACCACTTCCTGTTAGACGTTCTTGTCTGTTTTTGTTGTTCACTGACCTTTGCAACGTAATGTTGGGAAATATCTTGGGATTCTGGTCAGCGTCTGCTATCCTGCACATGAGCCCTTTGCTGCTCTGCGTTGCTCTTTGCTTTCTTCCCTCTGGATCTCAAGTGCACTGGCCATTCACCCTCAGACGCGGTGTCGGTAGCTTGAGAGAGACCTGACTGGGAAACCGGCCATTTGCTGCTCAACGGAATAGCGTGCACTTTCCCTCTAAGGGCTTTCCCAGAAAGAGAAGAAGGTTCTTGATTCCCCAGTGGCTGCCCAGGTCCCTTGGCTGGGAGACGTCGGGCTCAGGGTGCCAGAGTCGGGATGTGCCCGAGCTGTCGGTCACCGTTTGCTCCCCGCCTGTCCCCTCAGCTCTCTGCCAGCTGCCCTGTTACGTGCTCGTAGTGTCCTGTTTTGAGAAACTTCCACTTATGTGTCGACCTCTAATTATCTCCGGGTTGCTGGGTCCTCAATACACTTGACTATCTGTTACATCTCTCTCTCTCTCTCTCACATCTCTTTCTCCCTCTCACTCTTTTTTCTCTTTCTTTTTTTCTGGAAGTTTATTTTTGAAGAACCCAGATCCTTTGACTAGATAGGCCTGCTTTTGTAAAACCCTGCAGGTGATTGTGCCCCAGAGACCTGGGCAGGCCCCTCTGTTCATCCCCCACAACGAGCGAGGTGGTGTTTGGAATCTGGAATCTCAGCTGTGACTTGATGTTTAGGGGTATGGCTCTGGATTTTTCATAGCGTTTGGCAAGTCCCAGCTCATTAAAATGTATCTGAACTGTATCCTTTAATTGTAGCTTAGCAATCATACCAAATGTGAAACACCTCTCAGAACTGTATCTTGGCAGAGAAATGTATACAATAGAAAGGGCTTCAGTGGGAAACAAGCCTGCTGGTGCCTGTGTGCTTTTCTTCCTTCTTCTCTGTCGGGTCAAGCTGTCAGAGTACTCTCACATTCCTAGTTGCTGTTCCTCCTGGGGGAAGATGATGAAACTCACCCTTATGGGTAGAGTCTTCACGCCCATGCACACGCACACACAGTCCTCTGCTGATTGGGAAAGCTTTTCTGCAGCAGAAAATGCAACTATTGCTTTTAGGAGTTGCTGCAAATTAAGAAAACTCTAGGGGAAATCCTAGACAGAAAAAAGTAAAGAATGAGAAGGAGTGAGAAGAGTGGAGTGGATGGGCAGGAAAAGAGAGATGGAAACAAAGATGTGGAAAAAATATAAAATCTCCCACCGGCAATTCGGTAGATTACTTTAAAGGACCAGGAGAATTCAAACCTGAGCAGAGAAATTCTTGAGAATTGGAGAAGTCAATGTTGATACCCAGAGTGCTTACGCTAAGTGAATGTTGCTTCTACCTTAAATCTTTCAAGGGAGAGAAGTCAGGCCATATCAAGGCAAAAACAGAATATTCCAGAGGGCTGTGGATCATCTTAAAACCTGCCGGGGTTAGGTACTTTAAATCTGAGCGTCTGTAAATTTAAATATTCATAATTCACATAAAATCATGTTTATAATGCGTACTTTAAGTTAACTTGCATCATTATGAATGATTTCACCAGACCTGAAATGAAACAAACACTATTTAACAAATAACAGGTTAAGGCAGAGTTCAAAACCCTACTATTAAAGTGTGAGTAAGATTATTCGTCTCTTATTTACCGTATAAGACTGTCAAAAGCGTGGAGTTGTAAAGCTTGTGTGTGAGTTCTCACACTATGAAAACTTGAATCCTGGACTAGCTTCTATTGCGTTGCAGCCCTACTAACGCAGGAGGTTTCTAGGAATCCTGTGCTTTAGGGCAGGGTTTCTCAGCTTCCTCACTGTGGATATTTGGGGCTGCATAATCCTTTGTTGGGGGGGCTGTCCTCTGCCTTGTGGGATCTTAGCAGCATCCCTGGCTTCTACCTGCTAGATGCCAGTAAAACCCCCTCCCAGTTTGACACTAAAATCCTCCAGACTTTGCCAGGCGCCCCCTTGAGACAGCGCAGTCACCTCCAGTCGGGTGCCACTGGCCTAAATGACCTCCGAGGTCATCCAGTGCCCTTCCCTTTGTGGAAGGCAGAATCTTGCCCCCTAAAGATGTCCACTTCCTATCCATGGGGCCTGTGAATAGGTTACCTTAAATAGCAAGAGGTAGTCTGCAAGTGTGATTCAGTTAAGGATCTTGAAATGGGGAGATTATCCTGAATTGTCTGGGCGGCCTTACGTAATCACAAGGTTCTCCTAAGAGGAGGAGAAGGAGGGTCAGAGTCAGAGAAGGAGATGTGACAACGCAGCAGAGGAAGTGAGGCAGCCGTGAGCTGAGGAACGTGTGCGGCCTCCAGAAGCTGGAAGGAGAGAGAACGGTTCTGCCCTCGAGCCTCCAGAAGGAACGCCGTCTGACCACCTCCTCCGGCTCCTGACCTCCAGAACCGTCAGATGATAAGTCCGCCTGGTGGTGAGTCACTCAGTTTGTGGCAGTCTGTTAGAGCGGCCGCAGGCAGCTGACACACCTGTCCACAGCTCCCTTGTTTCAGGGCCGCCTTCGGGGAGTTGGAACACGGACACACGCAGCACAAGCGAGTGTTTCCTGCCAAATGAGTGTTTTATTACTAAATCGAGGTGTGTAACGTGCAGTTACAGGGGAGGAATGTTAAATAGATAAATAGAGGAGCATAATAATAGAATATAATAAAAGTAAAAGATGGTAAAACAGAATCCTGATAGCTAGCACTTCCAACTGTGTGTGTTCGGCTCGTCGTGAGCTGCTTACGTGGATGAACACGTCTGATGCTCACCGTGACCCCGCAGGGTGGGGACCCTTGTACCTTCTTTTTACAGATGAGCAGACTTGGGCTAGGCCTGGCCAGGCTGCCCGGCCCCGGAGCCTGGACCCACCCCCACTTCTCCATGTGGCCTCTAAGGAGACCAGGACTCAGTCTGACTGTTCGTACCCTGCGCCTGTACATACAGTGTAGGAGAGCAGACTGCTCCCCTCCTGCTAGAGCTTGGAGCCAGAAGACAGGGCTGACTCTCAGAGAGCTGAAATGATTAAATCCAGACTGAGGAGGGGGAGAATAAGTCTCTTAGACCCAGAAACCGGCTACTTTACTGAGAAAGTGAGCTCTTCGTTGGTGATTTTAGTACATCAAACACGACGTAGAACTGAGGGGTCTAAATAAGCGAATATTAGCAGCATCGCCCTAAATTCTCAAGGGGATGGAGAAACCAAGTGAAAATACATGAGCAGTACAATTCACAAGAGAGCGACACCACCTGTACGGTTGTGCAGGTTGTACACTGCACAGTTGTGGCAACCCTGAGAGACAGGTTTGCAGAGTATTAAGACCTGGGTGAAATATCTCAGAACCATCCATGTCCTTTGCTTTAATTCTCTCCTCACCGAGAAAACTTTGGATGAGTATTTAGTTGTTAATACAAGGAAAGGGCTCACACTGTTCACCTGAAAGCTACGTTTAGCATGGCAAGGTAATGTTTTCGTGTTCTGATGTATTGTCACGTCTGTGTGGCTTCAGCTAAAGACCTGAAGTAAGTGAAACTTCCAGATGTCTGATTACTTCTGTGAGGGCCAGAGCCCGGTCGTGCCCTGGGTGAGGGATCTGGGCACTGAGTGGCCCTTTCCGGGCAGCACAGAGCTCTGCCTCACGTGGGCCACAGCCTCGCCTTTCCTGCCTGTTGACACC